CTGCCAACGTGACACAAACAACAGAATTCTAAACCGATAAGCCCGCGAGGTTTAAATTAAAAATTCCGGTTATTTTTTGATCATGGTAGTATTCTTTATTTGAATTGCCAAATGCGGAATTTATGTTTAAATAGTATTATATAATGCATTTATATAAGTTTTATTTATATTGTATATATAGTACAATGTTTGTGTGACAAAAAAACACGTAACTCTCCTCCAAAATTTAACAGAATATATTTGACAAATACCATTATCTTAATTTTTTGATTAAATACATTTTCTTATGCATTTTTCTATAATTTTTGGTGAAATGACATGTAATGTTGTTTTATTTTTCTTGTAATTATCTTTTTTGATAATATTATATATGTTATTTTGTAGCTTTTAGAAACAGTTAATGCTGTCAATCACTACAGAGAGAATTACTTCTACAAATTGCTCTTTACACGCATCAGCCATTTGGATTTAAAAGCAAGAAAGTGCAGCATCAGTTCTTGTTAAGTATGGAACGGATTGTTGAGATCATTCAGATGCTTGGAAAATAAAATAAGGATTATAAGAAGACATACAAGTATATGTATAGTCAGTCTATTTATTCACAGTGTTTACCCCGATAGCCAAATGATAGCAGTATGCCAGCAGTATGCACGCAGATTTAATTAGCTCTTTACAACAGATTCCACTCAGCTGTGTCATCATAGTGAGTAAATTATGTAGGCACAATATGTAAAGAAAACAACACAGCAAAAATATAGAAATAAATGAAGAATGAAATGACAATAGCACGTTATGTTTCAAATCTGCTACATTTTTTGAGCAAGTTCTGCCTGATTGATGCAATAATATTTGCATCACGGCATGACACATTTATATTCTCTTTTTCTTTCTGTTTTTCTGTCGACACTAGTTGAAATAACAGATTATGTTTGAATGCTGGCTACATTGTACTGGCATAATGTGTTATTGCAGACTTTGCAAAATATGCTCATTCAGTTTTGGTTATCTGGGTATAAGGGGGGGGCTACTACAGCGAAATATTGTTTGTCCGCACATGACATTTTCATAAATTTGAGGACAATTTTGTCCAGAAGCCAGATTTGTAAACAAGATAACTGTCTAACTTTATATATGTTTAAAGTTATAGAACTACACGGAGTATTGTAGAGTTCACTTCTAATTTCAAATTTACGATCTATTGCTACATATTCACCGTTGCTTGCTATTTTGCTCGCAATATTTTTCAAACAAACTATGTCTTTATCTATTAAGCAAAAATTATCAAAAGATTTGATTGTAAGCGTATAATTTAAGAAAATGTCTTCAAAAAATTGCGGACTATAACATCCTGATATTAACGATCCGTTATAATGTCGTTTTTTGACGCCAATGTGGTTTCTTCTCGTTTTGCTATGGTATTTCGCACGAGCTCATTTCTCCATAACGATTACTTATCTGTTCCAATGGCTTTTCCGATTGCGTAGCTTTAGTTCTTTCATAAAGTTTTCAAACGGAAAAACGCTAAAATTGTCTAGTGTCCCAAACTGTTTAATATCAGTTAAGTGTAAAAGTCCATGAACGTTGTGCGATACGTATTCAGATCCGTAAATTATTATGAAACATTTAATAAAATATCTCAATAATTGGTAAAATATACATACTCTTATTTATTATGTATAAATTTTATATATATATACTATTACATAATATGTAACAGTACATACTAGTGTTTAATGCGTATATAAATTTTATATAGATAGATACTTTTATTGATCCAATCTGGGTTACAATTTTCACAACGATCCTTAAAAACTACCTTATATCTAAATTAACTCACAATCAACTTACATATACTACCTTAAACAAACTTACATCTATATATAATTGTATATATATATACTGTTACATATTCCCACACAACACATGGACGTCCTTTGGACGTCCGATATATGTTCTCAGAAGGCCCGGTTATGACGCTCATTTCCGGACGTCCGCAGAACGTCCAAAAGATGTCTTATGGATGTCCCATAATATCGTCCACGACTAAGACGTTTTAATGATGTCCTA